AGTAGACTACTAGTAAAATCTAGATCTAGTAGGGGTCTAGACTCTATATCTAGATCTAGCTGATCTAGAGTACTAGACTCTACTATACTATTAGTATGTATCATCTAGACCTAGGTCTAGATCTAAGTTAGATCTACTACTAGATCTAGGCTAGTAGTAGTACCGCCTAGATCTATCCGGGGCGGGGGTGGGTAGAGTCTACTCAAATTATTTGTTGTTGGGGGTGTGCCGCAGTCAGGGGCGTCGCTAGACCTTTTTCAGTGGGGGGGGGGGGGGGGGGTGTTAAGTTAGAGACCACCGATTACCGACAAAACTAGCCACCAATTACCGACAAAATGTAATAATGTCCCTGTGTCTACAAATTTAACCCTATCAATACTAGTAGTAGTATCAACCCGGGGCCGAAGGCTAAATTATTTTTTCTATGAACTAGATCTAGATCTAGATCTAGGTCTAGTCTATCTAGAATCTAGATCTATAGACTAGTAGATCTAGATCTACTTGCGTATGCGCAAATTGTCATTTTCCTTGACATAAATATAAGAATTATTTCGTTAACTTAGTCAGTATCATAGCTAGATCTAGACTATATATTTAAATGCAGGCGCGTACATGTAGATCTAGTTTGGATCCTATTTTAGGGGGAGGGGGTAGTGAGAAGCGAATCACTTAAAGAGCGCGCAAAGGGCCCTCCCGCGCGAAGCTTTGACGTTTCATTGAATTATGAGAGAAGCAGACGATTAGTTGTAGTGTTCTCGACTCTTAATCCTTATCTGACTTTATAGATTCCACCCTTCCGCGCGAAGCGCGGAAGCTTTGACGTTTCATTGAATTATTATAGAAAGCAGACGCTTCTGTGTAGTATTCTCGAATCTTAATCCTTAATTGTCTGAAATCGGTTTCCCCCAATCGCGCGAAGCGTGGAAGCTTTGACGTTTTATTAAATTATGAGAGAAAGAAGACGATTCGTTGTACTGCTCTCGACTCTAAACCCTTGTATGAATTCAGTTTCCCCCAATCGCGCGAAGCGCGGAAGCTCTGACGTTTCATTAAATTATGAGAGAAAGCGATTCTTGGTACTGTTCTCGTCTCTTAATCCTTATCTGAATGAAGATTCCACCCTTCCACGCGAAGCGCGGAAAATTTCATGTTTCATTAAATTATTATAGAAAGCAGACGATTCAGTGTAGTATTCTTGACTCTTAATCCTTAATTGTCTGAATTCAGTTTCCCCCAATCGCGCGAAACGCGGAAGCTTAGACGTTTCATTAAATTTGTAGTATTTATTATTAGACAATGAAGACAATTCGTTGTACCGTTTTCGATTCTTAATCAGCCCTAATTGTCCGCATCCAGATTTCCTCTATCGCGCTTCGCGCGAAAGCTTTGGAGTTTCATTAACATATTAGAGAAAAAGGACGATTCGTTGTACCGTTCTTGACTCCTAATCTTTGTCTGAATTCAGTTTACCCCCTCCCGCGCGGAAGTTTTGACGTTTTATTAAACTATTAGAGATAGAAGACGATTCGTCGTAACGTTCTCGACTCTTAATCCATGTCTGAATGAAGATTCCACCCTTCCACGCAAAGCGTGGAAAATTTCACGTTTCATTAAATTATTATAGAAAGCAGACGATTCAGTGTAGTATTCTTGACTCTTAATCCTTAATTGTCTGAATTCAGTTTCCCCCAATCGCGCAAAGCGCGGAAGCTTTGACGTTTTATTAAACTATTAGAGATAGAAGACGATTCGTCGTAACGTTCTCGACTCTTAATCCTTGTCTGAATGAAGTTTCCCCCTCCCGCGCGTAGCGCGAAAGCTTTAGCGTTTCATTAACATATTAGAAAAAAAGGACGATTCGTTGTACCGTTCTTGACTCCTAATCCTTGTCTGAATTCAGTTTTTCCCCCGCCCGCGCTTGCGGAAGTTTTGACGTTTTCTTTTTGGCATTTCATCACAATATAGAGAAAGTAGACGATTCGTCGTACCGTTCTCGACTCTTAATTCTTATCTAAATAATGTTCCGCGCGAAGCGCGAAAGCTTTGACGTGTCATTAACATTTTAGAGAAAAAGGACGATTCTTGTACCGTTCTTGACTCTAATCCTTGTTTGAATTTAGTTTACCCGAAACTTTTAAACCTCTGATTTCTTTAGCTGATATTATAGGAAAGTCAAACTTCTAGAAAGTACAAGTATTATAGTTGTAGTCTCTCTCGATGTCGTCACAGTTAGTAGGGGGAAAAAAAATTGTCGGCCAACCGACATTATACATCTCGCCGACTTCAAATTCCTGCATTTATATAGTACCCGAGGATCGAGCAAGAATACCGACACGGCTGACCCGACACAGCAATTTATTTATGCGTGTCTTTCTTGCTCCCTCGACGAGACGACTCCACCCAACCCCCCCTCCCCCTCTCTCAGGCTCTTACCTCCCCTTGTTTCCTTTTTCTCTTTTTTTTCTTCCTTTTCTCCTTTTCTTTCTTTTCTCTTTTCTTTTCTTTCCTCTCTTCCCTCTTTTTCTTTTTTCTCTTCTCTTTCCTTTCCTCTCCTTTTTTCCTTTCTTTTCCTTTCTTTCCTTTCTTTTCCTTTCTTTTCCTTTTCTTTCTTTCTTTTCTTTCCCTTTCCCTCTCTTTTTTCCCCTCCCCCTTTTCTTTGTTTTCCCGACGGCAGCGCAATTTCGCACCCCCCACACCCACCCCCCCCCCCCTTTGGCGACGCCCCTGGCCGCAGTCAGCTCAAATTAAGCTAGTAGGGTCTACTCAGCTAGTTTAGTAGAGTCTAGGGCTAATTGGCCCTCCCCTGAGTAAAGGATAGGGCTTAGCCTTGCTATAGCCTAGGGGGCAACAAGTTGAGTGAAAAATAGGGTCTTGAGAACGGGTCATGGCAAGAGTTCCATATAGAGTCTAGTCCTAGTAGGTCTACTCCTAGATCTAGATCTCCCACCCCCCCCCCCCCCCCCCCCCCCCCCCCCCGCTGAAAAAAATTAACGACTGATAGAATCTACTTAGTTAGACTAGACCTATGTCTAGACTATGATAGAATTTTAAATTACTGGAAGTCCACCTGAGTCCGCGTTGCCCTAACCCTAACGCTAGGACAGAAATACTGGACGAAATAGCTTTAACATTAATGGATACAACATTAAATATTACATAACACATTGTGTTATTCTTCAAGTTCAACATCCAAAAAAATCAAATAAATTATTATCAAGTTCTTTTCTCATGTTTTAGTAGGGGGTATAAATATGGAACTCTTGTCTGGGTCAGAATTCGACCATCATGTCATGAATTGACCGCGCTTGTTGCGTGTGTACATGTATGTGTCTATGAGCGCCGCTCAGCGGCTATGTACAGCGCTCATGCATTGGCTGTTCTGGGCAAAAATCCGGCCCGCACTGTTCGGATGCCATATGGTTTGGGAACTGGGAGTTTGCCGTATAGCGGCAAGAGAGAAGGGGGGAAATAATTTTGTAACCCTTGAGAGCGGCAACCGGCCCGGCCTGGCCGAGCGGCCCTCATTAAAAAATTGGCTCTGAAAAAGGGGGTCTTTGTAGCGGCACATACCCGTGTCACCAATATATGCGAGTACATTGGGATTTATCAATCGAATCATGTATTTTGGAGGTGGAAAACTTTCAATTGACGTCAAAGAATTTGAAATTAGGTATTACATAAAGGTAATAATTGAGTTCAAACCCATATAAATTATCATTTGTTCATTTTGGGGGATTTTGTATCATATAGTAATGGGTGACATTCATGGATTTTGAATGCCAATATGCCAGGCGCGGTAAAAAAAAAAATTGTTGCCAATTTGAATGAAATGTAAAAATCCATGTCAAAATTATTAATTGTCACTGTGTGTCAAAATAGAATAGTCAAAGTGGATGATTGATATGATCAGTCTTGCTTCGATATTTAATATAATATCTTGTGCATCTTTCTGGTCTTAGCGGTAATTTTGACATTGGAATCATTGCAAGGTCAAACTTTTTTGTTTTGCATTGTTGTGGGTCAACCTAGATACACGCACCCGCTATTGCTTGCACCTACATGTACAAAGCATGAAGCTTAATTCCTATTCACTGTCGAAGCCTATGTAACGACCCCGGTCCCGGCTTGTACATTTCGATAGCAACCGCTCAAACAAATGCTTAACGCAGGGCAATCAAGTGCTGTTGGATTATATGCGAATGTGTACTGTGCGCGTGCGTGGCCACGCACTGCGCATTCCAACTTCGACAGCGAATATAGAACCACATGTCAAAAAATGCTGATTACAACGATTTACCCTAGACCTCTATAACAAAACAAATTTCTGTTTATTTGTGTTGTTGGCATAGGGTTCTGCGTTGAACTGCTCGCGAAACACCCAACGATGAACATGCAGTATCTGCAGAAACTTTGCATGCTTTTTGGGTTGTCAAAATAATTTTCCTGATTTTTTCATTGGATTGTAGACCATGCAAGACTGGATCTATGACAATTCCATTGAGAAACAAAAATAAGACAGGGAAATTAAGTTCTAGAGGAAGCTTTGTAGGTGCACCGCTATCGCAAGAGATAGCGGGTGCGTGTATCTACATTGTAGGGTCAAATAGTCTTTTTTAACACAATTTTTCTGACACAATATGAAAAATATGTACATGTTTTTATTTTCCTGCAGCAACTACTTGCCCAAGAAGACGAGCGATGTGAGGAGTCGCGGTTGCAGGGCTAGGGCTTTTTTTTTCAAGCATCAAGATCAAGGAAAGAGTCACTGGTAAGTTTCACTGGGTATTCAAAATTTTGTATCCAAGACCAATTCGAGAGATCGACAAGAGCTGTAAGATATTCTCCGATAGCGGCGCTATATTACTTTGGTTGTGCTGCCTACTTCCAGGACAGGCACGAGTGAATAGCTTTCCTATTGAAATCAGCCAAAATCATGATGCGTCATTATAACGAACGGTTCTAAAACGCTATCGAAAAGTGATTTAAACATTGATTTAAATCAGTTTAAATAAGTGTTTTTTGTGAGTATGGGGTTCCGTTGCGGATGAAATGATCAAATTAGCCGGCAAAAATTGAATTCTGTAGGATTTCGGCGTAAAAGACCGGAAGTAGGTAGCACAACCTGAAGCTGGACCCGCTGAGCCAACAGCGCACGTCAACCAATCAGAAACAAGCATTTAATTCATTTAATTTAACGCCCTCTAGCGGCCAAATAGTTATTGTCAATCCCCCAATTTCATCATTCCCAATTAGGCCACTTGTGGTGATGGTGACATACACTAAAATAGATAATGGACCCCTTTTTGGAACTTGATACTTCCCTTACTGGAATGTAATCCCTTCTTCCATAGCGGTGTAACCCTACTAAATTTGATGAATACCATCTGTAGTTTTTCCTATTAAATGCTGTTATAATTCTTGGTTTATATAGGCCTTGTCTTCATTTTCTATTTTTCTCTAACCCTTTTAGACATGCTGACCAGAAGAAGACATTGTGGTGTTGGAAAACCCAACCCCCTTGAGGTAGCAGCACAATACACAGAGAAAGAAAAGGACCCTCCTCACTTCATTGTCAAGCTGTTTGAGAACAAAGGTAAGCAACATCATTTTTAATTCATAATTAAGTTTCATGGGGCTGCTACAAGTTTAGGTCGTATACTGTCCAACAATATTTGATTGATGTCACAGCAGAAACATAACTTAACAACATAATTTGCATATTTTGCACATTCATTTCAACTCAAGTTCTTTTGTTTTATGCCTCCGACATGAAGTGGTGCCGGAGGCATTCTGTTTTTAGGTTATCCGTCTGTCCGTCCATATTTCTTCTTACCACGATAACATAAAGGGATGTACATGTATACCTGGTGTTCTAGAAGGCGCTGTTCGATGGCATGTTGTGCGCCGCCAATTTTATCCCGAAGATTGACCAGGCATATTTACATACATCATTTTTTTACTGTTTGGAACATGGCATTGTGTAAACACCGGTATGATCGAATAACATATATTGGTGTCAATGGCAACTCACACCGTCTGTCCGAGTACACATTGTCAAGATATTCTGACAAAATTAATTGTACTGATCAAATTGGCACTGTGATTTTTGGAAACATATAAATTCCTGCCATTTCCATCTCAACATAAAAGAAATAGAATAGTGAATCTGGCATAAGAAAATCAGACACACTTCTTGGATACTTTTTGTAATCCTTACTTCCTCAAACTCTACAATGTACAGAACCTGCAAACCCAACTCTTGGAGGGTGTCCAAAATGAAAACAGTGAGAAACAAAACAAATTGAGTTGAGCTGGACATCCTTATTTACTACATATAGAGTATATAGGGACAATGTCTAGATGTGCGCCTGAAAGTAAATTGCACGAAATAAATTGCAAATCAATATTTTGTTGAAGATGACTTTCAGCTGTGACGTCAACAATCAACTATCGTTGTTTAGAGGTACCATAATGTTGGTGTAATGATGTCTTACTGTAATTTTTCTTACAGGAAGAGGGATAGTGGCACAAAGAGACATCTCAAAAGGGGAGTTTTTGTTGGAGTACCCAGGCCAACTTATATCTGCCCAAGAAGGCAACCAACGTGAGGAGGAGGAATCATCTGGTTTTCGTTTTTTTTTTAAGCATCAAGGACAAAGCTACTGGTAAGTTTGCACGTTTTATTCCTATTAGGAGATTATGAAACGGGCACTGTCCATCCGTATGTGTACTACCTATTACTTTTGGATGGTTCGTCCTATCATTACCAAATTTGAATGGTAGATGCATTAGCTAGGGAGGCCTATACATTTTAGTGTGGTCAAAGGTCACTCAGACTTTGTGTACAAAATGTTAAATTTGTACATAAGATGTTAAATCTACATATTACTTTTGGATGGTTCATCCCATCCTCACTAAAGCTGGATTTGGGGGTCATGCGGTCAAAGGTCATAGGGCAATAAATAGCTTGTGGTCGTGTTATCTCAAGAACCGATTGACGGATTCTCACCAAACTTGGCCCATGTATGTACCTTAAGGGGCCAATGATGAACTAATTCGATTTTTGGGTTATGAGGTCAAAGGTCACAGGGCTCATTATATATGCAATAAGAGCTTGTGATCACGTTATGTAATTGGGCTTAATATGTAAATCGCGCAATAGTGGAGGCATCATTTTCGACTGCGCGCAGTCGAACATTCATCTAGTTGAATGACATACAATATTGTACACTTTTCTTTGGAATACAGTCTTGATGCAACTGATGAGTGTGCTTTTGGGGATAGACTCGGCCGCCTCGTGAATCATGGACAAGGGAGGGAGGAGAACGCCCGAATGAAGATACTAGATATGAAGTCACATCCACACATGTGGATAATTGCTACAAAGAACATATCTAAAGGGACCGAAGTTCTGTACAATTATGGAGTTCGAGAACTGCCGTGGAAGAAAAAGGTAAAATTAATTTTGATAAATTTAGAGTATGATGGAAATTACAAGATTATTATCAGATGTGATAAAAGTCAAATTTTACCTTTTCATGTTTTTGCTTGTAACCCATGATAGACAAAGCAATACAAGTCATGTATGTGAGATTCAATTCTTTACCTCTAATACTAAAAATTGCCCCATGTGATATAGCTAAACTGATTACATTTTGGACAAGTTTCTACTCATTATTTGGCTTTATTCATCTAATTTCTAATTATTTTTCCCCTCAGCATTTCAGAGGACAAGTTCAAAGGGAAGAAGAAGAAGGAGAGACACAAGTCCACCAACAGGAAAGAGGGACTCTAGGACAACAACAAGAAGGAGAGATGCAGGTTCACCAGCAAGAAGGACAGACACAAGGACATGAACAAGAAAGAGGGACTCTAGGGCACCAACAAGGAGAAGACATACATCCACCAACAAGGAGAGACAGAGGACCACCAACAAGAAGAGACAGAGGACCACCAACAAGAACGAGGAACACAAATCCACCAACAAGGAGGAGATACACATGTCCACCAACAAGAAGGAGAGACAGAGGGCCACCTACATGAAAGAGAGACTCTAGGACACCAACAAGAAGGAGAGATGGAGGTCCACCAACAAGAAGGAGAGACAGAGGGCCACCTACATGAAAGAGAGACTCTAGGACACCAACAAGGAGGAGAGATGGAGGTCCACCAACAAGAAGGAGAGACAGAGGGCCACCTACATGAAAGAGAGACTCTAGGACACCAACAAGGAGGAGAGATGGAGGTCCACCAACAAGAAGGAGAGACAGAGGGCCACCTACATGAAAGAGAGACTCTAGGACACCAACAAGGAGGAGAGATGGAGGACCACCAACAAGAAGGAGAGACAGAGGGCCACCTACATGAAAGAGAGACTCTAGGACACCAACAAGAAGGAGAGATGGAGGTCCACCAACAAGAAGGAGAGACAGAGGGCCACCTACATGAAAGAGAGACTCTAGGACACCAACAAGAAGGAGAGATGGAGGTCCACCAACAAGAAGGAGAGACAGAGGGCCACCTACATGAAAGAGAGACTCTAGGACACCAACAAGAAGGAGAGATGGAGGTCCACCAACAAGAAGGAGAGACAGAGGGCCACCTACATGAAAGGAGATTCTAGGACACCAACAAGAAGGAGAGATGGAGGTCCACCAACATGAAAGAGAGACAGAGGGCCACCTACATGAAAGAGAAACTCTAGGACACCAACAAGAAGGAGAGATGGAGGTCCACCAACAAGAAGGAGAGACAGAGGGCCACCTACATGAAAGAGAGATTCTAGGACACCAACAAGAAGGAGAGACAGAGGGCCACCTACATGAAAGAGAGACTCTAGGACACCAACAAGAAGGAGAGATGGAGGTCCACCAACAAGAAGGAGAGACAGAGGGCCACCTACATGAAAGAGAGACTCTAGGACACCAAAAAGAAGGAGAGATGGAGGTCCACCAACAAGAAGGAGAGACAGAGGGCCACCTACATGAAAGAGAGATTCTAGGACACCAACAAGAAGGAGAGATGGAGGTCCACCAACAAGAAGGAGAGACAGAGGGCCACCAGCAAGAAGGACAGACACAAGGACATGAACAAGAAAGAAGGACTCTAGGACACCAACAAGGAGAAGACATACATATATACCAACGAGGAAAGACACAGGTCCACCAACAAGAAGGAGAGACTCTAGGACACCAACAAGGAGGAGATACACATGTCCACCAAAAAGGAGTGACAGAGGACCACCAACAAGAAAGAGGAACACAAATCCATCAACAAGGAGAGACACAAGTCCACCAAAAAGGAGTGACAGAGGACCACCAACAAGAAAGAGGAACACAAATCCACCAACAAGGGGAGACACAAGTCCATCAACAAGAAAGAGAGACTCTAGGACACCAACAAGGAGGAGATACACATGTCCACCAACAAGGAGAGACACATGTCCACCAACAAGGAGGAGATACACATGTCCACCAGCAAGAAGGAGAGACAGAGGGCCACCAACATGAAAGAGAGACACAAGTCAACCAACAAGAGATAGGGACTCTAGGGCATCAACAAGAAAGAGGAACACAAATCCACCAGCACAGGGAGACACAACAAGAAAGAGGGACTCTAGGACACCAACAAGAAGGAGAGATGCAGATTAATCAGCAAGAAGGACAGACACAAGGACACGAACAAGAAAGAGGGACTATAGGACACCAACAAGGAGGAGACATACATTTCCACCAACAAGAAGGAGAGACACAGGTCCACCAACAAGAAAGAGGGACTCCAGGACTCCAACAAGGAGAGACACAAGGACACCAACCAGTCGAAGGAGAGTTCAAAGGATTAGAACAATCTGAGCATCCACAAAACTGTGTATCTCCATCAAGTTGTTCCTCAGATGAGGAAGAGCAGTACACACGCCCAAGAAGGTTCATCTACCCTAACCTATCTAAATCATCAAGTGAACTCCAAAATCATTTTGACAGTGATGAATCTGACCTTGATCCAACATATCGACCAGAGGAGGGTAGCAACGAGGAATACAGCAGTGATGATGAGGCAACTCTTGAGATTCATCCAAGAAATGTTCAAGTGCGCAAGAGACCATCTTCTGTTATATCTACACCAGATGAAAAACCTACAAAGATTTATAAACAGTGCCTTCCAGGATCATTTTCAGGGCCAGAATTGCCACATCAGAAAACCAATGATAATATGGAAACGACACACAAACACGAGGACAAGAAAACAAGGTACAAGAAGCCATCAAGGCCATGCCCTTTCTGCAACAAAGCTTGTGGTGAAAAGCTCTCGAGACACATTTGTTTGGTACATAAGGATAAGGAGCAGGTGAAATCTGCCATGCAGCTGCCAAAGCGGGAGAGAGACAAGGTGTTCTCAAAGTTCAGGAAGGAAGGCATATACCAAGTAAATAGAGAACGTATGAAAGATGACAACCCCATTTATGAAAGAGAAAAGTTACCAAAATCAGGGAATGATGACAACCTTAAAATGTGCAGTAACTGCAAGGGCTTTTACAGCTCACATTTCTTCTGGCATCACAGGAAAGTTTGCCAAGGTGATATATGCACTCCATCTGAAGGAGTACCAGTAAACCTCATGGAAGGGAAAGATCCAGTGTATCAAAAACACCCAGACTTTGTCACTGACATACTTAGTAGATTCCAGAATGATGACGTTGGGAATACGTGTAGAACGGACAAAGTGATAGTTAATGTTGGACATCGACTGTGGACTAAACACAGATCCAAAAAAGACAAGAAACTTGAAGTAAGAAAATCAGTTATGGCTGATATGAGAAGACTTGCCACCTTATACACTGAGTTTAAGAAGAAACACGAGGTTCATGGGACTGCAGATCTCACAATGGGACATGCTGGAGACATGTTCAGTAGAGAGCACTTCGAATCTTTGACAGAGGCAATCCAGACGCTCACTTATGATGAAACTGAAGGCAAACTAAAGCCAGGACTGAAACTCTGCTTGTACTTTGTGCTGAAAAAAGCTAGCAAAATCACTAAAGCTAGTTTTCTTGTATCCAGGCTAGATGAAGATGCATCTGAGATTGACAAGTTCGTAGAGATTCTTGACTTGAACCAGAATTTGATTTTTGGGGATGCACACTACGAAATCCAAAAGAATCGCCAAGTGCGTTTGAGGAAGCCTGCAGAGCTCCCGCTTGAGGCTGACATTGAAGCATTGAAGACATACACTCAAAAGAAAGTCACAGAAATCATCTCTGATGAGTTCCTGGTTTGGGATTCTCACACATTTGTAGAGTTACGAGATCTGACTTGCTCGCGATTGACATTGTGGAATGCAAGGCGTGGTGGAGAACCCAGCAGGCTTACAACCGAAGAATGGAGAGATGCAGAAGAGGGTGTATGGATGCAGAAAGACAAGATTCATGAAGTTAAAAATCCAGCCCATCAGGAACTTTTATCTCAGCTCAAGATATGCTACCAGACTGGGAAGGGCACTAATCGCTTGGTTCCAGTCCTGTTCCCAAGAGACACTGTGAAACCTGTGCAACTTCTATGTGATCAGGAAATCCGGCATACAGCAGGAATAAGACCTGATAATAAGTACATATTCGCTTGTACTCAAATGTCTCATGACCATGTTGGAGGGTGGCATGCTCTAAAGAATGTCTCAGACAACATCAGCCTTTCGTCCAACGTTACGGTGAATGCCACCAAGAACAGGCACAGAGTGTCTACAATTTACGCATCCCTCGACTTGCCTGATGCTGACTTGGAACTATTTTACCGGCATATGGGACACTCCTCTACAATCAATCAAACAATCTACCAGACCCCACTTGCCATCCAAGAAATCACCCGAGTAGGGAGTCATCTCCATCATATAGATATAGGAGGTAGGTAAACATTTATACAAATTTTGCATTGGTTCAATGTACCATATTATATGTACAGCAAATTTATGATTATCTCGAGTTCAGATTTATAACAGCGAGGCAGTAGTAATAGAAATAAGAGCTGATATAATTTTGAATTGGGATAGCATATAGGATAATAACATCGAGCAACAAAACAACCAGTAAATGATACACCCAATTGTACATTTATATGAAAACAATTGCAAAATATTGATGGAAAAAACTTGCACCATTTCATATTCCCAAATCTGAAGCAAACCTAACGCAGAAAACAAAAATGTTCATCAAGTGATATTTACTATTTATTTATTTCATAAACTCTTTGTGTTTGGTATATATTTATTTTGTATTTGTTTGATTGCACTATTACAAATTTGTTAATTTGTTTATGCTCTCTCTCTCTTATATTGACTGTTGTTATATCGTGTATGCAAATTATTGATGTTCGCATTTTATATGTCTTTCCCTTCCCATAGGAATGAGGGCACGCAAAGAATCTGAAGCGTCTGATGACGATGGCTGCTCAAGTGCACCAGCGACCTCAAAGGATGGCTGCTCTACAGCACGGGTGAACTCTAAACATGACGACTCAACTCTAACGGTGACCTCTGAGGATGGCAGCTCAACTACACCAGCGACCTCAAAGGATGGCTGCTCTACAGCACGGGTGAACTCTGAGCATGGCAACTCAACTCTAACAGTGACCTCTGAGGATGGCAGCTCAACTACACCAGCGACCTCAAAGGATGGCTGCTCTACTACAACATTGACCTCTGGGGATAGGTCTTCAGGTAATATGAAAGCGAAGTGTTTTTTTTTTTGCACATTGTTGCTTTGATATTAAACAGGGAGTTGTTCCCATTAACTCTGCAGTTCAACTATCACATGTGCTGAATTCATAGTTGTATTGTATTGTTGAGAATCATAGGCATGAGTTCAAAACTTGGTTCTTGTAGAATGAATCAGTTCATAAAGGTTTCAGCATATGATACAATGGAGATTCATGAAGAAAAAAAAAAAGTAGTAGATTCATGCATTTATATGACAAATATTGGTGTAAAACTAATTGGATCTGCTCAGGAACGCAACACTGTATGGGAAAAGTTTATAGCTGACCATAATGAGAAGTTTTCCCAGCAACCATTGTAAATACTGAAAGATTGTGTGATATGGATACAATTTGAATCTAGCAACTGCGAGAGTAATGGTAAAGGTGTATTTGGCCTAGACATTTAAAAGTTGGAGGGACACATGGGCTCTAACTACCTGTGCGCATGCATACAGCTTGTTGATTGATTTATTCCATATTTTTTAGCCCATGTGAGCAGAATGCTCAAGTGAGATTTTGCCATCCGTTTTGTTTGAAGGGGGTATACTGGAATCAGCGTGCAGTCGGTTGGGCGGTCGCGCGGTCGGTCGAATCTTGTGTCGTGAACTACTTCCTCAGTTTTTGAACAATTCTAGTGAAATTTGGCACAAATGTTTGCCTTGGGTGTTGATGAGCAGACACACTATAGGCCCCTGAGCAAATTTACAAACTTTTTTTTCCCCCTTGGGGCACTATGGGGAGGTTGCGAAATTCAGGTGAGCATCTAGTCTACTGGGCTCTTTTTTTTTTTTTTTTTTTTTATTTTTGCCACATCATATGAGATGGGGATTTGAGGTTTGCAAAACATTAATCACCCTGTTTAAATTACAGTATCTTTTGCCCATAAATAAATTGGTACATGTAGGTGTCCCGATGCTGTGGTTATGTTTCATGAGATAAAGCAAATTCAGGGGAGGGTAGTCATGCAAGCTGCAACCGGAGTGTTGTGCGTTTTAAAGTATTTTTCTTCTTTTCAAACATCTTTCATAGATGTAGGCACAACATGTGACAAACTGTGAAACATGTCTGAAGCGTAGAAGTATATAAGGCTTATATGTTATGTCATTACAGCCCGAAGGTACAACCGCTGGTCAAAGCAGGGAAGCAAGCAGTGCAAGCAGTATTTCTCTGCAGCAATCAAACAAGGGGAACCATTACCAGGTAAGCTTCTTTGTGTTTATGTTTAAGTGCATCTTTAGGCAAAGGGTTGAGAAAAGTTGTAATTTTGTTGTCATTTTAAAGGGCAGGAAACTGGTATAGCATGTATTAGAAGTGTGCATATAATTTATATAAAATCAGAATATTGTGTTCCAAGAAACTAAGTTCCAGGGATCCCCAGCTTTCAGTTTTGGTAGCTTCCATTTACTAGTTTCAAGGTCTAGTCATTATTATACCCCTGCCAAACGAAGTATATAGGAATCAGCGTGTTGGCAGAAGTTGATGACAGTGGCAGAAAGTGCATTGCCATGGTAATGGCATATTATGACAAACAAAGGGGGGGGGGGGATCTTGCGTCGCGAACTACTCCTTCAGTTTTGAACAATTACGTGATAACTCAAGTATGACTTGATGGAATATCATCAAACTTTGAGTAGGACTTGGCAATTAATAAATTTGATTTTGAGTGACACTGCAATAGCTGGGGGGGGGGGGGGGGGGGGGGGGGGGGGG